GCCCTACTAGAGCAATATTTTGGCCTCGTTCTCCCAAAAGCCATGTGGGGCCATGGGAGATTCTCTAACCCCTACTGCCTAGTGTTGAGGTTTTCCATGTTTGTAAATTTAATGTGTGTGTGTGTGTGTGTTTGTGTGTGTGTGTGAGAGAGAGAGAGAGAGAGATCGTCACTTCATTCTTTCGAAAATGATTTCCTTTCACAAAAGTAAGGAATGGGCAACTCTCTTCAATCTCACCACGTGGCCGTGACATGAGATAGTATCTTCCATACCAGAGTGTATGTAGTTGTATCATGTAGTACATTTAGTTCCTTTATGAGACTACTTTATGTGTATAAATATGAATGCGTTTTTAGTACACCCTTCATTTTTATATACAAGGCCACAAACTTAAATTACAGGTACCAAGGTAAAATTTAATACTTCCTCAATTCCCTTATACAAGGCCACTACGGAAAATATGTTTTGCATCTATACAAGGCCTCTAACAGTAACTGAGGCAAAAACTAATGATGTTTCCTCGTACTACCAACTTGTTTAATATTTGCATGCATGTAGTCATAGTGAAACTGTGCTACTTCCTTCTCGTTCCTTCCTTGCATGCATGCGGCGTATTAATAATCCTGGTTAAGGAAAAGAAAAGCGGGCTTGCAAAGCAGTCATTAAGTTTTACCTTGGTACCTGTAATTTGAGTTTGTGACCTTGTATAAGGGAATGGAGGGAGTACATTTTTTGTAACCTAATTTTTTTATCGTTTACTGAGATCATTAATACACCGAATGCATTCAACAAAATTGAACGGAAGAAGTAGTTGAGGGTCATTATGAATGCATGCATACAAATATTGAACAAATTGTTAGTACGAGGAAAAATCATTAATTTTTGCCTCGTTTACTGTAGGTGACCTTGTATAGATGAAAAGTGTATATTCCATAGTGGCCTCTTATAAGTAAATGGAGGGAGTATACTATTTATAAGATATCCAAGGCAAACTATGTGGAAAAAACTTACAAGTAGTTTTGACATCTTTTTCAATTAGATAAAACAAAATAGGTGACTAAGATCCGGACACCAGCAACCAAAAAAGTCATAAAGCCGCTAGTACTATATAGGTGGTTTTAGATATATGCTCACATGGCGAATACGCTACATATTCCTAATTACTACCTCTGTCCTGGTTTATAAGCCCCCTTTGTAATTTTGTGCCAAATTTGAAGTAAAAATTCAAGTAATAAAATGTTAATGCATGCTAACAAAAATCATATCGTTGGATTCGTATTTGAACCTAGTTTTCAGTGATATAATTTTTTATGACATGCATGAATATTTTGCTAGTTAAATTTACGGTCAAAATTTTGAATAAAATACAATGAGGACTAATAATTCAGGACGGAGGTAGTATGCTAGATGCTCCCTACAAGATTCTAGGTAACCCATACCAAATGTGTGTGTG